ACATGGGAGGAGCCGGCCCCTGGTGGGTGTTCAGGGAGGCGGCAGGTGAAAGTGGGTGTGTGCTGTGTGGGGCGTGGAGGCGGCCCTGGGGCTGGGTGCCGTGTGCTGGGTCTGGGGCCCAGCAGTACTGCAAGCAGCATTGCTCTGGGTGCCCTCCTACCCTGCAGGCCTGGCCCTGGACACAGTACTGGGGAGCTCAGGGGTGTCCTTGGGCAGATGCACCCTTGAGGTGAGGATTTGTAGCATGGCCAGGGCCCTCGGCCACCACGTCTGCAGCCCAGTGGTCAGGGAAATGGGGTCACGGGTCCGTGGAATGTCTGACTTGGCCCTTTCCTCCTTCAATGGGAGTCCTGGGGAAGAGGAGTCACTGAGTGGAGGCTCCTGGGGGCGGGGCCAGGGAGCCTGTGCTCCGTGGGGCGGGGCTGGAGGCCATCTGTCTGCTGTGAGCCCTGGACAGGCAGTCTCAGTGGAGAGGTGGGAACAAATGTGGGGACCGGGAGTAGCGGCACAAGATTTAAACGGAGGTCAAGGAGACTGCGGGAGACTGGTGGGGTGGCGTGGACAGCCAGAAGTGCTGACCCCGGTGGCTGCGCTCTCACCAGGGTGGGGGGGCGGGGAGCCCCCAACAGGTTCCTCTCCCTGCCCCTCTTACACACGCTGTCTTGCTGCCCCTTCCAGGTGTCCCCCGGGCAAAAACATTATGACCACTTTCGTTGTAAGGACGAGGAAACTGGAGTCCAGAGACTTGTTCAAGGTGAAAGCCAGGGCTGCCCGATCTGACAGCGCGTGTCCTCGTCCCACCTTGCCCGCGGTCCTTGGTGCAGGCAGTGGCAGCCACGAGGCTTTTTTAGAAGGTTTTTAAAATATACAGTGCAGTTTGCTCTAGGTGTTCAGTTTTGTGCTTTTTTGACAAATGGGCTTTCTTAATCTAAGTTCTAAATTTTATGATCGTTGGCAATTCATATGTGGTTGTCAAACGAGAGAGGGAAACCCTGTGTACCATTTACTCGGTTTCCCTCTGTAGTCACATCTTGCAGAACCGTCACGAGCAGGAAAGGGACAGTGACATAGACCAGACACAGAACGTCGTCACCAAGGAGCCCCCCTTTCCAGAGCCACGCTCGCCTCCCTGCCGCTCCCACGCCCTTTCGCCCACCCCGTGCCCACCCTCCCCAGCAACCACGAGTCTAGTTTTCATTTCTGTAATTTTATCATTTCAAGAGTGTTATGTAAATGGCTTCATCCACTTATTAACCTTTGGTGACCAGCTTCCTCTCTCGGTGTGACTCCCCCTTGGTGCCGAGCACAGTTGTGTGGTGTGTTTACAGTGCGAGCGGTTTGAGCACTCGCCTGGTGAAGGACCCCACGGTGTGTCCCTGGTTCGGTGCGTCCCTGGCCAGGACCGATAGGAATGAGGCCATTAGGGACGTTTGCATGCGGGTTGCTGCAGGGTAGGAGTTCGCATCCCTCTGGGATTGAATCCAAGGAGGGCACTGGCTGGGGTCGTGTCCTGGCGCAGCTTTGAAAGGGTGTGCTTGGGACGGAAAGGCAGGTGGGGGGCCGGGGCTCTGCTGCAGGGGGACGCTGGCAGGCAGCACAGGCCTGGCAGCTGGTCCACATGGCTTCAAACACAGGCTCACTCATCTATAAAATTCGGGTAACTGAACCTGTCATGCCGCTGATGTGCCCAAAGCAGCTGGTATACAGTAGGTGCTCATTAGATAGAAGCTGCTCTTAGTATGAGTTAAGAAAAAAGCCCACCAGGCCAGAGCAGGGTCTGCACTTCTGAGGTGGCCTCAGGGGGCCTTTGCTTTCTTTTTGCTTTGGGTAGAGCCACCCACCCAGTTGTCCCTTCAAAGGCCAAGGCCCTGGCTTCCTCCTGAGGAGCCCCCCGGCCCAGTTCTCCGACCGGGCTCCAGGTCCCTCTACAAACACTGACGTTCCCCAGTGAACTTGGCCAGGCCCGTGCTGCAGGTCAGAGGAGTCCCAGAGAATTCCAGATCGTACCAGGCTGTCCTGGTCTGGGTTCGTGTCCGAGGTCGTGCCCGGCCCTTTTCAGATGCTGCTACAATGGAGCCAAACTCCACACAGGTGTATCGGGGTCGTCGTGCATTCAAGGTGGTCGGTGTGTCAGGTGCTGCACAGGGTCTAGACAGAGTGGCTCCCAACAGGTCGGAGCGGCCAGCTCCAGCCGCTCGGGGAGCCCCTGCGGCGTGTGGCGGTCTGCACTCAGTCCCCGCGGCGTGTGGCGGTCTGCACTCAGTCCCCGCGGCGTGTGGCGGTCTGCACTCAGTCCCCGCGGCGTGTGGCGGTCTGCACTCAGTCCCCGCGGCGTGTGGCGGTCTGCACTCAGTCCGGCCTTCAGAGCCTTTGGTTTGAATCTTGTCCTTCCAGCTCCACGTCCTGCTGCTGCCCGCTCTCCACGCCCCCCGGCTCCAGCCCCGGTTGCGCTCGCCGTCCCCCACACACCTGGACAGGGCAGGCCGCCCTGCTTTGCTCACACTCTCCCCTCTGCCCAGGTGCCTCTTCCCTTCCTGTTGAAACCTTGCTTGTTTTCTTTTCAATCAGAGAGGTATCGTGTGCTCTGGACGAAATGTTCAAACAGCACGTAGGCCTGTGCTGCTCCAGGGCCACAGTCCCTCCCTGAGGCCACCATGGCCGTGGGCCTGTGCTGACCCCTCTCTTGCTGTTTTCGTGGCAGGCTCTCCTGGAGACGCTCATTTGTCTGCCATTCAGATCGCGGTGAAGGTGACCCAGTACATGACTGCACTGGGATTTAAGTAGCCTGTTCCCTGTTGGTGGGTATCCAGGCTGTTCTACACCTGCGGTCCCCACACGGGCCGTGCTGTGTGTCATTGGCCCCTGTGTGGAGTGGAGGCATCTGCCCAGGACTCTGTGCCTGTGTCCCCTCCTCCGCCCGCCTTCGTGACCCTGGGGACTGGGATTGCCCTGGACCTCCTCTCTTCTTTCAGTGTCTGCGGTGTTGGCTGCCCACCCACCCAGTTCCCAGGGGCTCCGGTATTCACCCCCTTGCTGCCTCTGTGAGCCCTGGCACCCTGCAGGGGCTCCAGTGGGGACAGAGTTTTAAGAATCAGGACACTTCCGGCCAGCTTTGTGCTTGGTGCCTGGAGGCTGCATCGACTGCATCAGCCAAATCAGCTGGGCTAACCTGTTTCCATGGAGATAGACTTCAGCAGCATCCTTCTCACTGGCCACCTCCTGATTCACCAGAGGGATGGGCCATAAGACAGCCAGTCTTCTCTTAATGGGTAGCTTTTAAAAAATTGGATGGAATGTCCCTTTAAAAATGTTGAGAGGACAGCTACTTTGGGCATTCATTGCTGAGAAAGGGTCAGGTCCCAATGGCTCCCCCATGAAGGAGGGACAGTTGTGGTTTCCTGGACATTCCCTCCAGTGACCTGGGGCTTCCCAGCCAAGCCAGGGCTTGGGTTCTGTTCTCAGGGAGTGTGGTACTCTTCCGAGGCAGCCACAGATGTCTCTGCTTCACAGGGAGGGAAACTGAGGCTCAGAAAGTAAGTAACTTGGCAAAGGTCACTCACACAGTGCATTTCAAGAGCTAGGAGTCCAGGGCAGGTATGCGGCCCCTTAGGGGACTCACGTGCTCCTGAGCCAAGTGTCCAGAGCCTGGCGGACATTTCTGCTGGGCTGTCTGACCAGGACTGGGAGGAGTGGTCGGAGGGTCTTTCCTTGAGCATATCCCTCTTGGTCAGAATGTGTCACCTCTGTCTCAGGTGGTGTCGGAGCCACAGGGTCCCCTGCTTCAGCTGGCAGCCTGCCTTCCCCAGCGGCCAGGCCTCTGACAGTGTATTGATTTCCCTCCTCCCTTCTCTGCTTCTGCACTTCGGATGAACCTCGTTTTCGAAGAACAGGAGAAGGTGATTTTCCTGGGCTTGCCAGCTGGCCCGTAATCGAGCAGTTTCAATAACACCCCCTGTAAAGTCTAATTGAAGTAAGCAGAAAAATATGATTTACAGTCTGGATGGCGAGTAAATACCAGGGCGCAATTAGTTTGTACACAGAGCAGCGGATTCTGAAACATTTCTCTACGCCGAGCAGTTTGTTTTTAATTCCAGATGACAAGTTGCCTTTCTGTGTGTTCACTACTGTTACCGTCACTGTTCTTCACTTTCGGGCGGTGGTCACCAGGTTGCTGGTGTCCATGGGGTTCCTTTGGAGGTGTCACTGCAGCGGGGTGGGATGGGGAACGGGACCAGGAAAGGTCGATGGTGAGGGTGGCTTGTTCAGCCCGAGCGGTGGGCCGCACTCAGCATTTGCTTCGTGGCACTGGAGAGGAGGCGAGGGCATGAGATGGGCTGTGCTGCGTGGTGACGAGTGGGGAGATGGGGACCCTGTGACTGCCAGGAGCTGAGAGCGTTAGGGACAGGTGGGCCCCGCATGGGCTGTGACTTGGTTTGCCTCATTGTGCAGGAGGCACAAGGCTATAGAGGCCCCCAGGGTTGCCAGTGCGTTGCTGTGGAAACGTGGTCCTTCCCAGGGAGGGAGTTAACTCAAGTGCTTCTCAGGGGACCGTCCTGAGTGTCCCAGGAGCTTCTGTTCATTGCTTGGTGGGGAAGACCGGCCACCTCGCGCACTGCCAGGGTCCCCTGCTGCCAGCCAACAACCTGAGAGCCAACGGCAGGTGTGACCCTCAGCCCGGGGTGGGGTGACACTGAAGCTGTCTCTAAAGCCAGCTCAGTGCAAGGTGTCACATGACTGGATCACACTTGGGGAATAGCAGATGGGGTACCCTGAGATACGTCTTAAAGGTGTCACTTAAACGTGAAGCTTCCACCGGCTGAACTGAAATTCATCTTTATACCCATCAGGGCATTGGCTTTGGGGACACTCTAAGGGGATTCCGAGAAGGTGGTCTGGCCTTCAGCAGGGAGGCAGGTGCGGCGTGGAGGAGTGGGCAGCTGTCTCAGGCCCCCATCTTCCCCTGTCCTGATCCCCTTGCCTTCCTTTTCCTGTCTTCCCAGGCAGTTGACCACACTTGACCATTTCCTGCCGTAGCCCCACCCTGAGGCCGGGGGCCAATGGGGAGCTGTTTCTGCTGACATCGGTCACCTGGGAGGTGCCTCTGCCTGAGTCTGCCCCGTGGAAGATGGCTCGTGCCCGCCCTGGGATGGAGCCCAGCTGCTGAGGCCCTTACCATGGTGATGATCCTAAGGAAAAGCCTCGACGACCTGGGCGCCGACTCCGTCACATGCAGGACCTTCGACTCTGAGCTGGTAAGCACCCCCTGGATGTGGTTTCCCTGACAACCTGTGTGAGGCCCGGTGTCCCACTGGGGCTGTGGATGGAGCACGCAGGGAGCACTCGGGCCTAACAGACTGAGTCCGGTGTGCCTGAGAGCGGAGCTCTGCAGGGTGCTGCCAGCCAGGCGGGTGGGGGCAGAGGAAGCCAGAGCCTGGGTGAGGACAGTACTTGCGAGAAGGAAGTAGCCGGCCCGGACTGGAGCCGTCTGGTGAGTGAGGTGGGATGGCCAGCTCCCGGTCAGTAACACCGGGTGAGCGTGGTTCCACCGCCCCAGGCCGGCTGAGACCCACATTCCTGCTGGTCTCCACCCGGGAAGGGGGGGTGGTGCCCGAGTGGGGTCTGAGATAAGGCCATTTCTCCAAAGGGCGGGGCAGGGCAAGGGCAGCTGCCGGAGGAATGTGTAGAGACGATGGAAAGAAGGCACAGCCCGGTGGCCGGCACGGTGGACTGTGCTGACAGCTACCCTCGGCTGCCCTCCACCAACGAAGTCCTCTGAACAAGTGGTCTGGTGGGCTGGGCCAGAGAGGCAGACGACGAGTGGCTGTCGGAGCCAGAACGAGACTGCCTCCTGCCTGCTGCGGCCCTGGCTTCTCGGGGCTGCACTCAGCCAGAAGCACCCCTGTGGAGGGGCTTTGTGGAGCGGGGAGCCTCCTGGACTCTCCGCATGTCTGGGGTCAGCGGGGAGCCCACTGTCTAGGGTCATGTCGCCCAGTGCCCCTCCTGGCACCTGTCACAGGCCCTTAGGAGCGCCCCCACTAGCATCCTCATGGCTCCGTGCATTGTCGCTCACCAGCAGCCGGGTGGAGAGTGGGCAGGTGGGGCCCTGGCCTTGGCCAGAGCTGTGTCCACTCTACAGGCCTTGACAGAGCACTGGGGGCCGTGTCAGGCGCTAGGTTGGATGAATCGCATGGACAAAGATGAGTCGGCGCGCTGCCCGTCACACTGCCTGTCAGGTCTGCAGGTGACGTCCATCTGTAATTAGATCCCGCTCGGCGTCCTGGACACTGTTGCCGTCCGCTCTCGCCAGGATTCTTGTGGGAGCTGGTCCCTTGTTTCTGGCTCCTTCATCCTGTTCCCCACCCAGCAGCCAGAGGGAACATGGTCAGATCTGCTCCTCCTCTGCTTGGAACCTTCCACAGGCATCCCATTCAGGAAGGGCCCTTGCACTCTGGCCCCCATGACCACTCTGCTCACTCTCTGCCACCCCACCCCAACCCCATGCTCTCGGCACAGACTGCGCTGGCTCCTTGCTCAGGCGCAAACCTGCCCCAGGGCCTTTGCACGTGTTCCACTGCCTGGGAGACTCCCCTCTAGCAGGACTCTCCCTCCCTTTCTTTGTTCTCTGGCAAGTCAGCCTAAAATTTAGTTCCATTACCACCCTTGCCTCCCCCCAGCACACACACTTCTGTCCCTGTTCCCTATCTCTCTTCCCTCTGAAGTTCTTCCTGACGTTGGATCTTGTGTATCGAGTGACACCTGCACCAGAATGTGGGCGTTTTGTCTCTTTCACTTGTTGCTGCAGGCCCGGTGCCTAGAACCAGGGTCTAGCCCGTGGCAGGCGGACATTTGCAGAAGGAATGAATGAACGCGGGTTCCCATGGCGCCATTTCTTCTGAGCGCGCCATTGTTTTAGTGCCTCTCTGGCTGCTGCTTAGGTTCATTGCTGAGGTCGCTCTGTTTTCTGTTACTGGTGGGTGTTTTTCTGCTGAATCGAAAGAACACATCGAGCATAGCTCTGACCAGAGAGGAATGGTCTTCAGAGTGAGATCCCAGGGGAGGGTCTCTGCCCGGTTCCAGCTGCGCTGTTGGCCTCAGCAGCTGCCGGTGAACTTGCTCCCATCTCGGGGCTGGCTGGAGTTGGCTGTGGAGCTGGTTCCAGGGCACGTGGGCCCAAGGTCAGCTGAGCTGCTCTTCAAATAGACATGGTCTGAGCTCCTTGCCAGGAGGAGCGCAGCCTCTCAGCCCCATCCAGGGAAGGAACACTCACCTTCTGCAAAAAGACAGGGAAAGAAAACCAGAGGGAGCAAACGGGCCACTGACGGGGGCTCTCTGTGCTGCCCGATGGGTCAGGGTCTGCCTTTCCCCTTTCTTGGAAAGTCATCAGCGGCTCCAGGCCCACAGCCACCCAGCCCGGAACTTGGGGTCCCCCGTCCTCCTCTTCAGTCTGCTTGTCTCCCAGACGTCTGTGTAGGTCAGCTGTGGGCAGCGGCCCCCTCTGGAGAGGGGCTCTCGTTGTCTGTGTTGGCATGTCACAGCTGTGGGCCACAGCCCAGGCATGGCCTGGTTCTGCCCGTGCAGCGCCCATGGGGGCGCAGCCGCATCCAGCAGCCTGGAAGGGGGCGTGGTCTGAGTGGCACTGGTAGAGGTCCCGCCTCCCTTCATGTCCTGGAGCCTCCCCCAACCCCGTGGAGGGGCAGGGGTATGTCTGTCTCTGCCCAGTCATACAGACAGGAAATGGGGGCTCTGAGGGCCCAGCGGGGGTGGGGGTGGGAGGGCAGGTCACACAGCTGGTGAACAGGGTGTGAGGATGCAGCCTTCAAGTCCAGGCCCTTGTGTCCTGCACCTGGGACCCTTGCACACGCCCCAGCTCGTCTCTTGGGGCTGTGGCCTCTCAGGACTCTGCCAGACCCCCTGGGGGAGGCAGGGGCCCAATAAGCTGAGAAGGACCCCAGATAATCTCAGCCTCATGATAACATCCACTGGGCGGAACGTGAGATAAACTGATCGGAGGATTTGCCCTGAGTGGCCGGCAGGCGGGAGAGGAAGTTAGTGGGGGCTTTGCTTCAGCTTCCTAAGCCAGTAACATCTTCCTCGATAAATACCATCGAGATAATAACAGGAAAGAGGGAAAGGCTTTCTCCTCTTGTTTTCTAAGGAGACTGAGAAGATCGCAGAAGTGGGGGTTTGAGGGTAAAAAACGGGCTGTGAATCACCGCAGGCCACTTTGGAATCGTGGGAGTGGGTCCCGGAGCCACATCTGTGAGGAGACGAAGTCACAAACTGCTGGTGAAAATCACCTGGGGGTGCCTGGTGGGGGGCCCCGGAAACCTGGTGAGGAGAAGCCTGCAGACACCCCTCTGGGCCTGGCTACCCCCTCCTGGCCCTTCCAGGAGCCTGTTCAATGGCTCTTGGTCTCCTTTTTCTAAAAGCTGACTGCTGGCAGCAACACGACCGCAGTTACTCCCGGGAGAGGCAAAGGAAGACGGCAGGAGGGGCCGCCGAACATTCAGCGTTCTGTCCTTCCCACCGAGAGAGGCGGCCTGGGCGCCGCCGTGCCCCCAGCCCGCTTGCACAATGGGCAGCGAGGACTGGGCTGGGTTCCCCTTTCTCCCACTCTGCTGCTGCCCGGTGGTGGGCTCTTCCTTCTAGCGTTCTAACATTAGCTGTTGCCACTGGCAGACCGCCCAGACATTTGACCTCGGGGACAGTGTTCCCCCAGCTCCTTCCCGCACGCCCACGCACAGGCCCAGGGCTGTTCTCTGGCTCCAGAGGGACCATCTTCCCCAGCCAGGCCTGGCCTCCTCTGCCCTGCAAGGCTCCCAGCCCCCTCGGAGGCCTGGAGGCCAGAGGGCGCTGGGGCGGGGCGTGCTCCAGGCGGCCTCCCTCTCCCCGGCCTTGTGGTCTTTCCCACAACAGCCCACACTGGTGTGTGGAGCGGTCCTTCCTCCTGTGCTTGTCCCATGAGGATGTCAAGGCTAAGCGGCCTGCTCAGGTGAGAGAATCAGTGGCCGTGGCAGGCCTTGCGCCCAGCTTCCTGGGCTCGGAGGGTCTGTGTACTTCCTGTGACCCGGAGCTGGCATTCGGGCTCAGTGGCCCCCGGCGGGCCTGAAGTCCCAACTCAGAAGTGCAGGATCGGGGCAGTGTGACACCTTCCGCCCCCAGCAGGCAGGCGAGAACACGAGGGGCCTGCCTGCGCGGGGCTGACCCTGAGCCCTGGGGAGGCAGGGGCCCTGTAGCATCTCCATTTGCATCTCCGAGAGCCGCCATCCAAGGGCGCTGCGCCTTCCTCAGCTTCTCTTTTCTTCCGGGGCCTGGCTGTCCCTTCTGCTTTCCACCGCTGTGGCCTCCCCGCATTCCTTTTCAGAGGCTGGGGTGCTCCGCTTGTCCCCCTCACGTGCACCATTGTGAGTGCGTCTGCGTGGCCTTGTGTAACGCGGCATGGGAGAAGGAAACAGTGACGTCATGGCTTCGGTCAGTAACCTGCAGAAGAAAGGGAGGGCGAAGCACGGTGATGGCGCTTTCTGCCTGCGGTGGTCTCTCCTTCAAGAGAGCCCTGAACTGCGTCTCTATTGAAGTCAGGGTGTCATCAGAGATGAACCCCTCCCCCCCCACCAGGTCTCAGTGTGATTGGCAGGCAGCCTTTGCCTTTCCCAGGCAGGATCTGATTCCAGAATCTTCTCTTGTCATCTAAGGAATCTCGGAGAGACCAGGCCTGCCCTGGGGAGGAGGCTTTACACTGGGAGAAATACTGGGGGGAGGGGCTGTGCTCATTGTCCTGGGTCATTGCAGACACGTCTCTGCCACCACGGAGGGCTGGGGGCCTCATCAAGGAGCCATCGGCCCCTCCTTCCCTCCTCCTTTCCCGCAGTGGGTGCGCGGGTCCCAGGGGCGGAGAGCGGCTGGCAGTGGAGTGGCACGAACCAATGAGCATTTTTCCCGTACCAGGTACCAGGAACACAACGGCCCGGGACTTCCCGGAGCCCAGTGGGAACCTCGGTGTTGGATGCCGGGCAGCCTGCCAGTGGTCAGCACCTGGGCCCGCTACCCGGGAAGCTGTCGGGTGTGTGGTGTCCCGGCCTGCACGCTGCTGGCCCAGCCTCAGACTGAGCTCAGAAAGCAAGATGGGGCCTCGGATTCCATCTCTTTTTCTTGTTTGTTTGGCTGCCCCAGCACCCCAGGGGGAAGTAGTCATCCCATGACTATTTCAGGCCTCAGGGTCGGCCTTCAAACTGCCACCGTTCTGTCGGTCAGCATTTCTCCATAATTGCTCTGATAGATATCCTCTACACACACAAACCAGTTTGACCGAATTGACGGTCATGAAGAAGAAAAAGGAGAAGAAAGAAGGGAAAGCTTCATTTTGTTAGAAAACAACCACAGAAAGCCCCCATTAAGCCCTGGCTGGTGTGGCTCAGAGGATTGAGTGCTGGCCTGTGAACCAAAGGTTGCCAGTTCAATTCCCAGTCTGGGCACATGCCTGGGTTGCAGGCCAGGTCCCCCAGTAGGGGGCGCGTGAGAGGCCACCACACTTTGGTGTTTCTCTGCCTCTCTTTCTCCCTCCCTTCCCCCTCTCTAAAAATAGATAAATAAAATTTAAAACAACAACAAGAAGAAGAAGAAAACTACTTCGCACTGGAAACATCTTTCTGGTTAAGCAGGTTTCACTTAGAAATCTTTCCTCGTGGTTCTGAACACCCCTGCTCAGAGCTGGCTTTCGCCAGTTACTTGAGCAGCTGAGCCAGGGCTCACTCAACCATTAGCCTCTTGAAGGTCAGCACGAAATGACCAGGGTCCCTCTGTCGTGAATACCAGACCCTCTGCCGCTAACTTGCACCCAAAGAGAACACGCTGGTGCCCTGGGAGAGAACCCTGGGATTGGAGAGGAGTTGGTGAACAAAGCCCAGAACGGGCAGGGACAGGGCAGCTCAGAGCGTTTCAGAAGCAGGCGCTCGTGGCAGGCCACGGGCGACCCCACACGGTGAGCCGTCCCTGGCCCGGCCCAGGCATTAGAGCCCCGGGCCCAGGAGTGTCTGGTCAGCCACACCCGTGTCCTGTGCCTACCCCGTGCCCAGGGAGATCAGGCACTGTCCCACCACAATCTGTGCAGTGGCGGAGGGCGGAGCCCCGGTGGAGAATCAGGGTGCTGTTAGCAGAAGCAGGCTGCACTCCTCAGTCTGCAGTTTTACACACTTTGTGAAGGGCCCGGAGGTGGAGATCTCGTACCCGGAGGTGGAGATCTCGTAGAATAGCGGACTTGGGGAAGGGGTTCCTTCACATTGTAAACTCTCAGTGTGAGCCGTCGCCGCTCCACTGTGCCCTCGGGTGCAGAGTCAGAGGCTGCCCGGGGACCCTGGGCTGGCTGGGGGTCACCCCTGACTCTGTTTGCCTGGTGCGCTGGCCCCTTCCCCACTGAATTTTGACTTGGCACGAGCCCAGTGATTTGGGGAGGCAGCAGGTCCACCCAGTGAACATCTGTCTCCATCGGCTCTGCTTCTGTTGGGCACATGGCAGCGTGAGCAAGAGGCGGGGGCTGAGAGCAGCCGGGCAGCAGACAGTCTCGTGGTGCCTGCTCCATGCGGGGACAAGACAGCAGCCTCACCAAGCTTTAGCTCTCGGGGCTCAGAGAAAAAGCACAGAAACAAATGAGCTGACGTATGTGGCCGAGACCCTAGATAAGACCGTGCAAGGCACGCAGGGTGGGGAAGGTGCCCCACCAGGCGGTCAGGGAAGGCCATGGTGGGGGCCTGGTGACGGGACTGAGACCCAGAGCCCATCCTGGAAAGACCCCACCACAGAGGCCCTGAGGTGGTGGCGAGCGGGCTGGCCCCACCGAGCTGCATGTGAACACGGTGGACCTGGAGGGACTGAGGGCCCTGGGCTGGGCCCACTTGGGTCCAGTGGGCAGCAGGGACGGGGTGGCCGGAGTGTTACTTGGTTGCTGTGGGAAGTAGCTGGAGGGAGGTAAGCAGAGGATCAGCGTGGGAGGACAGGCCCAGGGGGTGGGGGGCGGGGCGGGGCTGCACGGGAGTGGGAAGCCCTCCCATTCCGAGCGTGTCTCCGCCGCCCTGGGAAACGGTCCGAAGCAAACACTGCTGAGGCCTTGCTGAGCGAGCCAGCGAGTGAGTGAAGGCCGGGGGCCCTGTGCGCTGGCGCGGTGGCTTCCTTCTGTGCCCACTCACACTTGCACCTTCCCCGGGAGGGTCTGGGGTGCTCCTCTCTGTGGAACAGGCAGCTTCGGGGAAGGAGGTGGCTGGTGAGCCGAGACGTGACTGCCGGCCAGTTCGCTGCCTGCGTCTCACCGCTGCCTGTGGCCCTAGCTCTGCTCGGTGGCCCCTGTGTCTGGCACAGCGCACAGGCCACCGTGGGCTCCTCGCTCTCTTCTGCTTTCCCCGCCCCGATCCTGGTTTGGGTTTCTGTGGGCTCCCAGCTTGCACAGGGGCTGTGGTTCCCCAGTGGATGTTTGCTCTGTGCCGGGCACCCACTCTGTGCCGGATGCCCGTGTGGCGTTGGAGCTGCCTCCCTTGGCAGGCAAGGCCCGTGGCATTGGCCGAGCCCAGCTTCCCCCTGTCAGAACCCCGCAGGGCTCTCGAGTTTGTCACCTGCTCTCCGTTGGGTGACTTCGGTACGGGCTTTCAGTGCTGCGTGAACTGAGCCCGCGGGGTGGGGGTCAAGTCACTGGAATCCAGGAGGGTGCCCAGTCCCAACAGGAAGAGAATTATTTTGCATGGAGGCGGGGGCCCTGGCGAAGGACTTCCCGCCCCCTTCACCCCTCGGGGGCTCCTTCTGGTCCTTTAGCACCAGCTCCAGTGTTCCCCGAGGAGGCCAGCCCCGGCCCCCAGCACCTGCAGGCTGCGCCACCTCCCCTCCTGTCTCTGTGTCACGTAAGGGTTTGTCTGGGCGACTGTGAGCTTCCTGAGGGCCTTCACCTCTGTGCCCAGGCTGATCAGGGTGAGCTCTAATAAGCTGATTGGATGACCACATAAATGACTGAGGCCAAAGGTCCCTGCATTGGGCAGCTGGGGACAGGGGTGGGGAGCTGGTGCCAGGCGCTTGCCACCCCTCTTATCTGGGTGGGCCAGGTGTTCCTAGTTCGCTCCACCCTCAGGCTTCCAGGCCTTAAAGAGCCAGGGCCTTAGCTCCTCTCGCAGGTGAGAGCCCTGTGACCAGCTGAGGGCTCTGGGGCTGAGAAGTTCTGTCCCTTTTACATCATCAGCTCGTAGGTTTCCACTGGTGACCCTGCGTGCAGGTCATCACTGGTACAGGTTTGTTGATGGGCAGGCGGATGGATGGGTGGTGGATGCGTGAGTCTTTGGGATGCTTGACCAGACCCTTCCTCCCGAGGCCAGGATGGGCAGCCACAGTCTCCTCCTCCTCACCAGCGGTCAGGACAGGCCTCTTGACTTGGGCCTCTATGAGCACAGGAACCCCGGGGTGCCCCCAGTTCAGGTTTCTGTGCAGCTGCGGAGCCGGCGCCTGGGCTTGGGGCTCTGCTGGGCCTCACTGGCCTGTTCCTCACCCAGTGGCCCTCAAGTTCTGCTGCGGCTCGGTGCGGGGTTGGGGGAAGACGCTCAGTGTCCCCAGCGGGAAGGGAGGCCGTCGTGGGGACGTGGTGCCAAACAGCTCAGACGCCAGTGCTGTCTGCTGAGAGCTGTGACAACCTGCGAGCTTCTGTCTCAGTTCAGAGAGGATGCCTGGGGGTGGCCCAGCACCACTGTTTTTCACTTGAGGTTCTTCCTGCCACTCTGAGGTCCCCTCGTCCCCCAAGCCTGGGCTGTGGGGTGCGGGGGGCGGGGAGCTCTCTTTTCAGCCCAACCTGGTGACCCATGCACATCACACGTCCCTCCCGTGGCAAACGCCCCGGTGTTAGAAGTCATGGGCTTTGCCCATGGGGGTTCGAAGCCCGTTCCCTTGACAGACTCCATAACTCACTGGAGACTTGGGGCCCAGCGTCCAGGCCTCCCCGCGGGCAGACTTCATCTCTCTGGATACTTTCCTCTCCTTTCACGAACCTGACGCTGGCCACAGGCCGCTCCCCCTGTCGTGACTTTAGCACGGGCCCAGCGCAGGGCCCCGTGCAGACGTGCTTCTCATGACTTGAAGAGTGAATAGCTTTTCTGGTTGTTTTCAGCACACGCCAAAGAAGATGAGTCACGGACCGACACTTTTCTCTTGTGGAGTTATGGGTGAGTAACCAAGGGGGCTGGGAGCAGTCCTTCCCTGGCCCTCCCGCCAGGGCCCGCGTCCTCCAGGTGAGACCCGCGAGCACCGTCTGGACACAGGCACAGCGGGCGGCCGCGGGGCCGCTGCTCTGTGCGTCCTGACTGTTCTGGCCCCAGCGGTGCAGGGGGCTGCTGGGCCAGGTACCGGTGTGTGGTCGACAAACAGGATTCCCACTACAGCACAGAGGGTTTCTGTCTGACTGTTAAAGGAACTGTGTTCATTTTTTTGAAGTCAGAAAATGCACCGTAGTGCAAAGCGTAAAATGTAAACCTTCTGTAGCCCATCATTACCCAGGGGCAGTAACTGCTATTATGCATTGGTGTGTTTTTATGTGTTTTGCACTTTTTTTCCTAGCCAAGGCCATGATGAACACACAATTACGTAAAATTATATACGAAAGGTATTTCTTGCGCTTTTCTCAGGAGTAGTTCCCACCGTTGCCCCCACAGACTGGACTTGGCGACCCCACGCGTTTTGATGAGTTCAGGGCACTGCGCTGGGTAATGGATCCGAACGTGCTTGTTGATCGAGCTGTTCCTTGGTCGTAGGGAGGAAGGGCGTTGTGTTTGCCGGTGTGATTAGCATGATGCAGTGTCTAAGCTTTGACCGCCTTCTGGGTCATTCTTTAGGGCAGTTCCCACGAAGGGGACAGACGGGCGGACGGGCAGGCGTGGTTTTGAGGCGCTGACTTCCTATCACGTTCCAGAAAGGCAGCCTCGGTGCCTGCTCTTTCGAAGGGGCAGGAAAGGTGCCTGTATCAACAAGATTGACCTCTCCCGCTCCAAGTGCTGGGCCCCCGTTTCTCCTCTTGCCGTCTGTGTCCCATGACTCCTGCCCCTGTGGGGACACCCTGAATGACAGGGAGTTTCTGTGACATCTTTGTCGAGACAGCAGCCAGGCCTCCATGACAGGTTGCTGCTGCGGGCCTCTTGCCTCCGACTCAGCCTCCCCTCTGTGCAGTGTCCGCTTTCTCTTCCTTGGACCCAGCCCCCCGAAGGTGGGGTGCAGCCCCTGTCACCTTGAGCATGGACCACACTCCTCACCTGCAGGATCCACTGGGCTCTGCAGCAGCTTTGGGGGCGCGCAGGGCGCTCTGTTCACATTTGGGGAAACTGCGGTTAGCGGGCGGAGTTGGACCCCAGGTGGGGGAGAAGGAAGACTGTTTTCTTCTTAGTCACAAGCCACAGCTTGCAGGGAGTGCCCAGGCGCGCTCGCCTGCCGCCAGAGGAAATGGAAGTAGGGAGGTCACCTGGCCTTGGTTTCCCCGTGTGACACACTTCTGAGGCCCATCCCCACGTGGGGCGTGATTGAACGCCTTGGTAGTGGTTAACGGCTTTCTGCGAGCCCTCAGCGACCCAGCCACATGCCTGCTTGCCTGCCTCATCTGGGTCAGAGTCGTGGTTGAGCTGCGGGGAGCTGCTCTCGTTCGTCACAGAGGGAGTGGAGAGGCTCCGGGCGCTCCCAGCCCCCAGCCCAGCCTGGGTTCGGCTCCCAGCCGCCGGGCCTGGCCAGCAGACCGGCTGCGGGCAGGTTGGTCTTTACCTCAAGGCTGCTCTGGCTCCAGGCTCCTGTGCCCTTTGCACTGGGTGCGTCACGTAGGCGCAGGGCCCCTGCGGGTCTGTGATGGGCGATGTCAGGGCTCGTGCAGTCGCTCAGAGGTGCTGACCTTTCTCAGCCTCAGTCAATTCGTCTGCGAGCCGACTGTGAGGATAGCACCTGCCCCATGGGCTTGCCTGCGGCCGTGTAGAGCAGGTTTGTAAGGGGATCGGCTCAGCATGAGCACTCTTGCATGAGCATCCGGCTCCCTGGAAGAGGCTCCACACCCAGACTTTTGTTTCCTGGGGGAGGGGGTATCAGCGAGGCAGTCGCCCTTGTGGGGAAAGGTCCTCCAGCCCAGGGACCTAGGCAGAGGCTCTGGGGATGGACGCACATGGAGAGAGGTTCTCCTTGCAGACTGCCCAGCACAGGCCCTCTGAGCCTGCAGAGCCCTGCAGCCTGCTCTCTGCCAGGGATCCTCTCTCCCGCCCGGGGCTTCTAGGAGGCCTGTGCCGCTGCTCCTGCTGCCTCTCGTTTGCAGAGCGGCTCTGGGGGATCTGTCCCTCCCGGGCCCTGTCTTCCGCCTGCTCAGCACCTGGGCACTGCCAGGTGGCAGAGGAGCAGCCGGGGTGCTGGGGGTCTGGGGAGTCCCCTTGTCCTTCTCTCCCACGTCTCTCTCTTCCGCTTGTGCTTGTCTTTCTGTTGCTCAGCCCATCCTTGGATTCAAGAAGCCCCGACCCATTTGACAGGGCACAGTACAAGGCTTTGCGTTCACTGCAGTGGCTTGCGGTAGTAGGTGCTTACTGAGTCACTGCCACATGTCGGGCAAGGGGTGCAGGTGGAGTGACTTGGTCCTCAGAGCTGTGGGCGCGGCAGCCCATCTTCCTAAGCCTCGGTTCCCACTTCCTGCTGGCGTTTGCCGGTGTTTGTAAGACTCAAAGAGACAGCGGCACACCAGAGGCGCCAGCTCGGTCCCTCCTGCCTCTGTCTCTTTCCTGCACCTGCCAAGGTGGGAATGCCAGCCATCCTAGGCTTTCCCAGGCCCGTGTACCGGTGGACGCTGTGGCGACCCATGATCGAGGTGTGGCCCTGTGCTGTAAACTGGGAGGGTGTCCCGGGCAGTGAGATTTCATCTTAGGCGTGACCACTTTTGAATAGCAGGCAAGAGTACACCCCATGGGTCCAGCCAGACTTTTCAAGAGGGTTTGGGCCCTTCCAGGGCTGGACAGTGCTCAGCAAAGATAAAATGTCACATTATTGTAATCAGCAAACCCCCTGCCTGTCTCCTGGAGATAAAGGACTCGTGTTCTGGCCCTGATGAGTGGGATTCTCCCGGGAGAGCTGGGGACAGCCCGACCCTGTCACTCGGTTCTTTTCCCCCCTTCCCCTCCATGCAGCATCCCAGCTGGAAGCCAGAATGAGTTTGAGTTTCATAAACGTTCTTCAGAAAAATGCGGGCGAGCACACTAGGGTGGGGAGGGCAGCGGCCGGTTTGCTTCCTCTCAGAAAGCCGCCCTTCCCAGTAGCGCGGCCTCCTCTGCACCCACTTCGATAAAAATGCCCTGTGAACGTAACCAAGTGTCCAGAACAGTGTTTAAAAAGCACGTCACTCCTTCTTCTGAGCAGGATTACAGGCCCCTCCCCACCTTTGCATCCCCTGCTCTGCCGCACCCCCGCCCCACATTTTGGGACTTAATACAAAGAAGCGGTTTTGTGCTTTTCCACAGTGGAGGAGGGAGCAAAGCTGGGTGAGGGGTGAGGGGGGCAGGGCAGAGTGGGGCCCAGGCCCAGCCCCTTTGGGGCTCCTTCCAGCAGAGACCACGTTCTGCCTCCGGTTTCGTTTTTGGACCATCCTGGGCACACCTGTGCTGAGCCGGGATTTCCTCTACAGGCAGCTCCTGTCTGGGGGGGAGCCATGCACACCGCTGCTTACTGTGTTGTTGACACAGGAAACCTCGGTCAGGTGGCAGCCTCGTGGGTGTGGCCTGGCCAGTGGTCAGCAGGCCAGCTCCTGTTACTGGCCAAGATTTCTAGTGGGAGCAGGAAGGGGCTTGGCTGTGCCCGGGAGAATCCCTCTGCCCTGGGCGGGCCTGGAGCCACGTGGGAACCCTTAGTGCCTGGCCCCCCCCAGCCCCTCCAGCACTCGCAGTGGGAGATGCTTCTCCATGTTGACCCGGCTCACGCATGTAATTTTGGGTGAAACGGAGCGAGCATGGTGACAGCAAGCTCTTCCCCCACCCCCTTGGTTCGTGGCTCCTGTTAAGTGAGTTCTGAGGTCTGGGTACCACACACCCCATTTTCCTCCCCTCTCAGGCCAGGCGGAGACCTGGCGATCGAACGGTGTGTGTGACAGCAAGTGCAGTGCCAGCGGTTGTGAAAAGGGCACCAGGAAAAGTCGTGCAAATAGGAGTCTGTGGACAGAGCAAAACAATTCATGTGCTAAAAAAAAAAAATGCGTAGAAACCCATAATTACTTTAGGAGTTATGGTAATAAATTATTTATTAATGTAAATTATTTCACAGGCAAAGAACGTAGAGGGAACTTGAGCAGAAGGATCATACATTATGTATAAAAAGGAATTGTAAAAATATTACGGCAGCCACGGTTGTGCTGCCGGGATCGGGCTTGTCCGCATCTTAATGATAAGCCCTTACTTTCCGTGTGTAATTACTTGGCTGTTGAAGTCCACTCTTTACACGAAAGGGGTGCTCCTGGGGGCACGCTCCGCATCGGTGTCTGCGGGGTGCACCGGTCGGCCATGTCATTGAGCTGCGAGGGGGGGTGGGGGGGGGGGGGGAGTGCATTTGGAGGTCTGGGAGCTCTTGGTCTCCTGATTTTGCCACCGCTCCTCGTTGAGAGTGGGACAGGATCGCAACCTCCTGGGAAAAAGCTGGCGTGGGGAGGTTCAGCGTTTTCGGTTCCCAGCGCCAGACATGCACCCGAAGCAAAGCGAGCCGTGGTGACGACGGAACCCGCGTTCTACGGGGCCGCACTCCGGTCTCTGCCACTTGCCCCTTTTCTCAGAGATCGCCAGTTTGAATATGCTGGTTGGACCGGGGCCTCCAATAGGAAACTGATTATTAACCAGAACAGGCTCCAGTGAGCCCTTGTTTCCGTTTGAAAGCGGGCGGCCGCCTACAAGCGAGCACGTGGACGGCGTTTCAAAACTTACTGTCCATGCTTCCGTGCTGCCCAACGTGTGACCTTGCATCTCTGAGGTAGTTGAAGGGCTGGTTGAGGGTTTGTCTTTACAGAGCGCTCGCGGAGTTTGCTTGCACCACCAGTTGGTTTCAGACGGTGTTTCTGGACTGGAGCACAGAGCGGAAGTAGGTGCGGAGTACAGGTGGTACTCGCTGGCTGTTTACGGCGACAATGACAAGGGAGCCTCCCGGGCTGCCTTCTCGCCCAGGCTGGCCCGACATGGGG